ATGTTTATTATGTATTTAATTATGTTTATCTGCAGTTAGTTACACAAATTTAAACATGAAGCTTTAATAAGTTGTACGGTATCTACGAACAATTTACTTGTAATATTGAATTTTAAGTAATCTGCATCAATAAACTGTAATTCGTGCATAAAAAATGAGTTTTAAGAGTTTTTTCAAATGCTTTTAATATAGTACAGATATAGTTTAATTTAGATTGAAAATTTTAATAAAACACTAATTATTTGTTAATATATTTTATACCTAATGATAAAATATTGATATAATTTGTTATTAAACAATTCAAAACTTTTAGGTTTCAGTAAAGTAGAAGTTATAAGTAATGGTTGAATAAGGAGTTAATGTTTACTTGATAAATGTTTACCGAGTCACTAACTTTAGGGTTGAACATAGAAAATACCAAATGGTAAGAACAATGACAAGAACCATGAGTCTTAGCTAGTAAGTGAGTGTGGCGATTATTACTTGATTAGTGCTTACCGGATAATTATTGCATATGATGTCATTTTGATGAGAAAATTTACTTAAATAGCCATTTTATAAAATGAATTTCACTTTTTAATCATTTTACAAAGCTTTTTTCTGAGATAGCCAAAGTTTACACAAAAAAAAATACTTTATGCAGAAAAAAGATTTTCTGCATAAAGTTTATTTTCAGGCGGAAAAAAAAATAAAAATGAAACTTTACACAAAAATGGGAGAGTTTATGCCAAAAAAAGGACTTTGCGTAGAAAATATATATTTTGTATACATTTATTTGCATAAAGTCCCATTTTTTTTGTTTAAACTCCCTTTTTAACTTATTTTTCTTTTTTTTAACCCAAAAATAAACTTTATACTAAAAATCTTTCTCTGCGTAATTACACGTAAAGTTTTTTTTTTTTTTTTTTTTTTTTTGTGTGTGTAAACTCATTTTTTAACTTAATTATTTTTTACCTGAAAATAAACTTTACGCAGAAAATTCTGATCTTCTGCGTATTTTTTTTGTAAACTTTGGCTATTTGAGCAAAAATGTTTTTAAAATGGTTAAAAGATGAAAGTCATATTGTAAAATGACTATTTAATTAATTTCCCTTTTGATACACTAAAATTTTATCTAGCAAGACAAGTGAAAACGTTAAATCTTACCGGTAAGCGTTTACCGGGTATCGTTTGAGTAAAGGACTCCTAAGTCTTGCTAATTTCAATCCCAAAAAAAAATTTAAAACAAAATATATCGGTATTAGTGTCAAGTTAAATGTTATAAAATTCTCATTTTTGGTATATAAATATTTTAATCAAAATTTTAATGTAAGTTGGACATCAAAATAAATACGTTATCTATTTTAGTTCCAATGATTGATTTTTTTTTGTTACATAGAATAATGAATTATTATATTGTATTGGTATGATTCAACGGTTATTTTATATTTAACAACTTTATCAATTGATTAATAATTAATTTCATAGAGTGTTTTTAGAAATTGTAGTTGTACCTATACAATAATTACTTAAGTAATTATGTTTTACTGAAACAATAATTAATACTTTAATTATTTTTTAAAATTTTACATAAATAATTTATAATATAGTATATATATATAATTATAGAGTTGAGTTCACGTGAGACCAAAAGTTTTTTGTGAGACCCGTAAGACCAATTTATGTTCATTGATCAACTTTATAAGCTAATGATCTAATGGTTTAAAGTTACACGGTGGTAATTTTGTGATTATTGAGAAGTCTCGTGGCGTCTATGAATGTTCAGATCTGACGATTGTATATCTAATTCAAGGGTTGAGAATTGGCCTTTCGAAAAACATTTGATCTCACATGATCTCAAGTCTATAATTATAAGTATAATGATTCCTTCATATCATCTTGTCGCTCTATTTTATGATTAATAGGGACACATAAAGAAACATCATATCTGCATCTCTTAAGGGCTAAATTATTTTATCCACTAAAATAAAACATCTTACGGTGGCATAGGCCACTTAAGGGCCTTGGTGGGCCCACCCCTGATTATCGTGAACCCGGTTCCAGCCTAATGCTATTATTGTGCATTTTGAACACAAAATCTTATAGTGGCGTGGCCACCTCAAGGGCCTTAGCGGACCCGCCCCTGATTGTCGTGAACCCGGTTCCATGCTGATACAATTATCATAAGCTTTGAACACATAATCCTATGGCCTTAGACCCGTCTTTGATTGTCGTAAACTCAGTTCTAATCTAATGTTATTATCGTGAATTTTGAACATATTAATATGTACCGCTCAAAGTAAAAAGCATTTTACTCATTTTTGTGTTGAAAGTCACATGCAATGCAATGGAAGAAAAAAACGTGTAGCTCTGAATGAATATACGAAAAGAGTTGTCGATTGTTGAAGATCTGAGTCACGCGTTTTGGACTGAATGGTAACATAAATACGTGCTTTTTTTAATAAACGAAAATTAGTATGAAAATAGCTAAAATTAGAAAAATGACGTGGCGGTGACTCACTATCTACGCATAGGAGAGCATCCAGCTGGAGACGTATAAGAGCATCCACATTTCCAATCGGATCCATTCCTCCCCGTAATTCTGATATGGACCCAACTGCAGCTCCGGCTTCCTCCGCCGCCGCCGCCGCCGCCTCCGCCACCACCACCACCGCCACCAACTACTTTCATTCCATTGAATCCAACACAGATTCATGGGGTGAAGACAGTTCTCAGTATCAATCTAATTATGGTTCTTCGGCATCGGCGGCGGGTTCAGTTAAGATCCGGTTGATGTGCAGCAGCGGCGGACATATAGTCCCTCGTCCCCACGACAAATCTCTCTGCTACGTCGGGGGAGAGACGCATATGGTGGTGGTGGATCGTCATACTACTCTAGTAGACCTCACTCATCGCCTGTCAAAAACTATTCTCCGATCATCGTCTTCATCAACGGCGGGGGGGTTTACACTCAAATATCAGCTACCGACAGAAGATCTTGATTCGTTGATCTCTGTGACCACCGATGAAGACCTAGAAAACATGATCGAGGAATACGAGAGGCTGAACTCATCCTCCGCTGTGAGTAAATCTTCTCGGCTTCGTTTATTCATTTTTCCGGCGAAACCGGAATCCGTTTCTTCAATCGGCTCGTTTCTGGAGAATTCCACTAAATCAGAAGATTGGTTTCTTAACGCGCTCAATGGTACCACTTCAGGGTTTTCCGATACTTCGTCGGTGAATAACTTGTTAGGTCTGGACGACGAGATCTCTCTCCCTGAGAAAAAAGAGGTTAATCAAAAGGGTCTCTTAACTACAAACCTCATAGGCAATAATTCAGGCCAGGATGTCCATTCGATACCCGATTCGCCGATGATGGAAACAACCTCATCGTTTGGGTCGGCATCGTCGACTCCGTCACAACCTAACTTGCCGCCGGTTAGCGGAAACGTGGATGATCATCCGAAGGTTGGAGGAGGAGGAGGAATAGAGGAGATGTTTTCCCAGATGAGCGTACAGCAACGGCATCATAAGGATCAAGATGATGGGGTTTTAGCGGCTGCGCCGGCTCCGGTGGCGGTTTCAGGTTCGCCGATGAGTTCTGCGACGGCGATTCCTGAACACTCTGATCCGTTTTTATCCTATCATGAGAGATCGGAGCAGGGTTTACAGATGGCTTATCTAAAGCATCAACAACAGCAGCAGCAGCAACAGCAATTTCAGCAAAAGCAATCCACGGGTTCAATTTTGAGGTTTATCTTAATACTCTGTCTTTCATTTTAACTTGTATCCGTAACACATACCAATTGTTTGTGAAAATGCCTGTGAAAAAAGATGTTGGATTTTGGATTAAACTCCATTATTGGTATGATCTGCAGCGATATGCCATATCAAGAACCTGTTGTTCAAATCCAATCTTCTAGTAACAACAATCGAGTTGTTGATCCAAATGATACCCCTGATCAAAGTCCTAGAATTCAAATGCAACAACAACAACAACAAAATCAAAATTCTGCTTATTTAATGTCGATGCCAACAACAAAAGCTGATGCACAACATCCTCAACTACATCACCAGCAACAACTGCAATTCATACATAACCCTGTTCCACAGCCACAGTACTTCCACCACCACCCTCCTGCGGTGGTTCCAGTGGCTTCCTACTACCAGATGTACCAGTCACCGGCAATGGATCAGCAGAATTTCGTGTACTATATGCCCACTAGGCAGCAGCCCCCTCAAGGTTACAATTTCCCATTGCAGCAACAGCATGCTGATTCATCGCCGCGCGCTCCCACTAATCAAGCAGCACCTCCTCCTACCACCACCAGGACCCCTCAAGCTGCTCCAAAAACTGAATTACCGGTGGGTGTTTACAGAGCAACGAATTCAGGTGGCCAGCAGCTTATTCAGGTTGCATCTGGTCATCAACACCAGCCACAGTATGTTGGGTTTCGTCACCCAACTCAGTCTGTTGCTTCTCCTGCTGCTGGTGGTGGTGGTGGTGGTGGTGGAGGTAACTTTGGGTATGAATTCACTGATTCTTTGCAACAAGGGCAGCTTATGTATTACGCAACACAGCCTATGCCACCTCAATCAGCTGCTCAATATCAAACAACTTCACCTATTGAAGCCAGTTCCCAACAAAGCAGCAACAACAGGTGAAGCAAAACGGGTGTCGTTTATCTCTATATTCTTCAGTTATATGGTATCAGTTTTGTTATTAGTATTGGTTTGTGGTATGTATTTGTGATGGGTATTAGGGATAACTGGAAAAAGTCATCTTTTTCTTGCTGGACTTGTGTATACTACAATATATATAGCTGTTTTTGCCAGTTGAAAACCATTGATCGTATTTGGGAATTACACATAGAAATCTGAAAACTCGTATAGGAGTAGATGAACAAGTGTACTTCATCGTCATTTGAATGTTTGTGAAATCTTTGGATTTTGATTGTTCAGCCTCTTGACTGGCTTTCTTGATGATGCTGAATCTTGTTTCCTCTGTTTTAGTTTAGGTTTAACTGCAAAATAAGACTATACTCACAATGGGGTTTGTTATGGTTACCGTTTAATATGGTTTCTTTTGTCGTTCAATCGGGCTTTGTTGAGAGATGGGTTAGGCTTAATGTCGGTACCACTGTCACTGTTCTAAGAGTGTGCAGTTTTCGCACATTGTTCTGTACCACTGTAACTGTTCTATTTTGTATTGTTATTGTCAAAATTCTGCATTCATGACTTTCTTTCTTTCACACAAGTCTTCACTAAAACAACGTTTTACTCTGTCAACTAGAGGTCTCTTTACGTAAGACTCCACCTCCAGTTGTACAATATTAATGTATTAAGATCTATGGTTTGTTTTTTTTTATATATAGTAACCTGGTCCACCTGGATATCCAACCCGCTAAGCGAGCCGATTAATCTCATGGCAACCACCTGCTTTGCAGATAGCCCAGAGTCATCGCATTTGAATCTCCATGGCCACAAGGGGATTTTCATTCCTCCTTGGATTTGAACCTGAGACCTCCTGGTACTTTTGACCTTTGGAGTCAAGCTCAAACCAATCAGGCAACTTGTTTGGCGATTGGTGGAATAATAAAATATGGAGTTAAAATTAAGTTAAAAGTTTGAAGATTGAGAGTCATTTAAGAATATTAGGTTATAATGACTTGAGGTCGTGGTTTCAAGAAAAAAAAATCAAGGCAACATTAGTGCTGGTAATTAAATGTTTAAAACTTTACACTTATGTATCAAAATGGAAGTTTTAAAAGTACGTTACCTAAAATAAAGATCAAATTAAAGTATGTTACTTTTTCATGCAATTTACCCTTAACATTATTATCAAACTAAATCATAATGATGTAAAAGTTTGGACCACCTGCGTCCATCTATAGATTTAATAATTTAGTAGTTATTATCTTAGTAAGAGAAAATGTTACTTTTTAACCAAATGAATCTTTGGACCAACCGATTCAACTTATTGGTTATTTATCAAACACTAACCGGATGAGTGGTCATTTATATTACCAGGTGAGAATCTTACTCTGATAATGGATATACCGAGAACCAACAATCTTACCAGGTAAGCAAGACCAGTGACTCATATCAGGTAAGCAATCGACAATCTTCCTATACCATTTCATTTTGATAGTCAAGAATCTTGCCTGATATGAGTTGTAGTTATGTATTGAACGACTTGTTTCAAAGGATGATTCATTTCGTTTTTGTTAATTGAAAGCATTTAGGTCAATTATTATGTTGAAAAGGGGTATCATCATTTAAGACATTGAATGTACATATAATTCCATGCCCATAATTCCACGTTTGAATACAACGTTTGGTGGGTTTTATATACCAATAGTCCATTAAAGCGGCCGATTGGATAATGTACCATCCAAAAACAGCCAAACATATACAATCACAAAAGGACAATATTACTTTATTGTAATAGGACTTCATGGTTATCATGAGGTACTATGTCCCATTTTCACGAAACATCATACCTCTATTCAAATAAAAACGTTAAATATCAAATTGATATTAACACAAGGTTTAGATGTAAATCCATTGAAAAAAAATACAAAAATATTTATGTGAAAATGCATATATGAACCAACATTACAGATTATTTATATAAATTCACATATAACCTTTCCTCCTAACGGTATTGAGTCTTCCTTATTTTTTTATTAACCTGGATATTCAACCCGCTATGCGAGCCGACTAATCCCAGGACAACCACCTGCTTTGTAGGTAGCCCGTAGTCATCGCATTTTAACCTCCGTGGCCACAAAGGGATTTTTATTCTTCCTTGGATTTGAACCTGAGACCTCCAGACACTTTTAACCTCTGGAGTTCAAGCTCAAACCAATCAGGCATCACCCTTGTGGTTGAATCTTCCTATTTGAACCTTCCTATATAGACTTGGGTTCAAGGGATAATCACAAAAAAATGAGGAATACTATGATAACCATTCATTTGTTTAGTATGCATGTGCATAGAAACCAAAAAACATTTTCAATGACTTTTATACATATGTGCATACCAGACGAATGAATAGTTATTAGAGAGTTCCTTAGTTTTTCATTTTTTTTGTGATCATCCCTTGAAACCGAGTCTCTCGATATATAGGTGAATTCAAATAAGAACCTCAAAATTCATTAGGAACCCGGGAAACCAACTATTAATGATCATTAAGACTAAATAATGAAAAAAATATTATTCAACGTAATGTTGTTATCACACATTAATGACAAAAAATATCTATAATGAAAATAATGATATATATAATAAAAATAAATGATATGTAGAATAAAAATGCATTAAATAATAAATATCAAAATTCATAATATTCACGATGAATAGTTGGTTTCCGGGTTCCAACGTTGGTTCGTATGCTTACAAGGTATACATGATACACTCAATAATGTAAACTTAAAACAAATACTATAAACAAGATCCTCTAACAACAATTAAACTAGAAGTAATCAAAATCAGATTTGTTTGACCCTCAAAAATCAAACCATGAGCCACATAAGAGAAAATAATCGACTTCCTCCATCTTACGAGATCATATGGGTCCTCGACTCATGGCCTTTCGGTTGCAAACACTCGGCCCGTGTATGATAATATATAAATTGTCAAATTAAACCAAACGTACCTTGAAAATTCTGACACAATGATCGGCTCCACATGATGCGAGCTGCATGCCGTCGGAATCATCATTTTTCTCCAAGTTTCTCCATGCTAAACGATTCACTGATGAAACATGGCACATAAACGGATCAAGTTGGATGACCAGAGAGGCAATTGAAACCAAGAAACTTGAATCGTGATCGCTTTTTCTAAGAGAAATACTCCATAGCTCAATCAGACCATTTTCCATTCCAATGGCAACAACACCATCGTTATTCTGTTGCTGGAGGCCAATCCAAGATAGAGCGGTCACACTGCTTTTAAAAGTGGGAAGAGTCGCAAGTTGTTGCACACTTTGATCGTTCTGCACACCCCAGATCTTCACGGTCTTGTCCCTTGAACCTGTGGCGAATTGGTAACCAAACGGGTTCCACGAACATGCCCATACTATTCTTTTGTGTGCCTCTTGCCGAGTTAGAAGCTGATAACTGATCTGATCTGTGCCATCTGTAAGAAAAATGGGGGTTGTTTTAGGGCCCATAACCGACAAGATAGGATAACACCCAAGAACAAGATAAGATTAACTAGACCACAGCACACATCAAGCCATCAAAGAACTTGAGCGAGTTCAATGGCAATAAATGGAAAGCAAGAACCTTGGAACAGAATGTCATGTTTTTGTACCTTTTGATGTTTTAAGAAAAGCCCAAACACTATGCTTAAATGCAACACTCTTTGGCTATGTTAGGTAAACTAGCCGATAAGCTAGCTAATAAGTCATGTTTGGTAAAAACCAACGGATAAGCTACATAATAATGTAAAGTGACCTAAAAGGACATGTTCGAAAAATTAATTGGAAAAATAAAAGGGGCATAGTTGGAGAAAAGGAAAATGAGAAAGCCCCTGAAGAGCTTATGATCAAACAAATGGAGCTTTCCAAATAAGCTAAAAAAACTAGTTTGTGGTTGCCAAACATAGCCTTTTTCAAGTTCTAAAATGATTAGAAACCTTTTAGGTACCTGTTCTATCTATAGAAAAGAGTGACAACTGGCGATCCCTTGAGACGGCCAAAAGATATTTGTCATCGTGAGAGAATTCCATTTGAGTCACTGTTAAGCTATGAGACTGCAATCGACCAACTGCCTTCCAAGTACCAACCTCCCATAGCCATATTTCCGCCACTGATGCTGATTGGGCCTGTAAAAAGATTGTAAAGAACCAAAGGTGAAATCTACTTTTTCTTCAAAGACTAAAGCAGATGCTAATTTTTTTTGAAGTATATATTATTTATAAACGGAAAATACACGCACAATCCTTATCTTTAGTGAGGTTTGAACTGAACCCTTGACCTCCAGGGATGCTAGGATTTACCGTAAACTCGGATAGCGATGGGACAATGACCCTTTGGTAGCAAATGGTGGTGCTTATATACCTTACAATACCTTACAAGACAAGGCAATACCTTACAAGACGAGGCAACAAGCTTCCCTCCATGATCACAACATAGCGAAAATAATTCATTCCCATGACCATAAAGTTTGTGCGACTCGGGCCATAGTGTGTGCCATGCCAGTTGTTCCTCGATTGGTGGTTCAGTCAAAACTGATGGAACTGCATCTGGGATAGTCTCGAGCGTGTCAAAACCTTCACTACCACTTCGGTCTGTTGTTTCACTTGAAGCTGCACAAAATAACAAGTTGTGTGTCCCCTTTGAGAATGGCACGGAGATTATAGATTCTTACCTATCTATTTATTTGGCAAAAGTTTAACTTGAAGTGATAGCCTGATAGCTAAGGTACGTATGGTATGCAGACAAGACTCGACAAGCTCTCTGAGGTAGACTGGTGAAAGAATTGTGGAAGGTTTTAAGATTTTTAATATGACATAGATAGTTTAGTAATTTATTAATCTCATCATGTCTCCCTGATTTTTTTTGGAAAAAGACGTCTCCCTGATTTTTGTTCCACAGCCTCCTTTGGTGGAACACAAAAGGCATTCTTGTCCCACTCAGTCTTGTCTTGTCTCAGTCTAATATTGCTCAAAAAGCGGGACATCAATTTTCTGTTCTGTCCTCTCCTGCATACCAAACACACCTAATAGAACAAATACTGAAAGTTGATTTGGGATGATCAACAATGAAGTGAGTCAAAAGGAGATCACAATTGCAAGAAAGTACGAGATTTTCAATGTAACTTGTGATAAGTTTTGAGGGAGAGATGGAATGAAACTTGCCTTGAACATAAATAGGTTTCTGAGATAGACCAAGAGCGGACATATTTGCACCTAATACCTGAACATCAACTTGCAGGTCATCAGAGGGATCATGTAACTGTGAAGTGGCATGATTTAATGTTTTCAAGAACGATAATGGGGCTTCAAAAACTCTAGCAACTTTCTCCTCGGCTCCGCTTACAACTCTGTGGTTCCCTTTTCCTTGAATGATAGCTAAGCAGTTGATATCATGACCATGAACTTGAGGGCGAGCAATTTCATGCCAGGTTTCGTCCCCGTTTGAGTTTGCCTCATTAAGCCATGAAGCAAATATTCTAGTTGTCTGCAGATATTAATTAAGAAAAATTAACTTCTTTTTAGCGCCTCTTCACAAATCTCCATTTGTAGGCTTTTTAGATAAACACAATACCTGATCATGGCTGACTGACATCAAGTATTCACCAGATCTACCCCAAGCAATATCTGTCACTGCAGCAAAATGCCCAGATGGAACTTTTTGCGGTTTCCAGTTATCAAACTCATTTTTCCAGAGATGGAAAGCTCCACCATAACCATGGGCTAATATAGAATCACCATTTGAACTCCAGTGCCCACCATAGAACCCCAAAGCAGAATGACTTAGCTCTCCAACAGTAACTACATTCACCCAAATACCTGTTGTTCTCTCAGGTTGCCATATCATCATGGTTTTGTCCATAGATGCAGATAAGATGCTTTGGGGTTGGTATGAACTGTTGTCCACTAACGAAGAAGGCTGCCACTCCACTGAATATACCCAATCCTCGTGACCGATAAGAAGGGATTCTAAAGATACTTGATACGAAAAAGAGCCAGCTAGAAATACAGGCCCCTTTATGTAATAAGCCAAGCTGTTCTCTGCTTTCTTTTTGTCAAAATTACCCACAGAATCACATAAAGCCATTCTCCATATGTGTATACCTCTATCTTGAGAAGAACTAACAAGGAGAAGGCTATATGTTTCTCCATCCACAGGTAATGAGAAATCCAAACTTCGGATCCAATCTGTATGCCCTTTTAACTCACAAGCACGAACAAACTATGGGTACAAGATAAGCAAAACTTAAGCCAATAATGATATAAATGCAAGAAGACAGCTACATATGGAAAATACATACTTGTCCTGTCTTCTCGCCGCAATATAAATGAATCTTGTTGTCAAGTCCCCCCATTGCCAGGATAAGGTGTGTGGTACTTCCTGGCAATTCTGCTAGTGAAAGTGTAACCAATGGTTTCAAACTGACGGAGAGGGAATCCAAGCATGTAATTGTACAGTCACCTGTGATGATGATTTAAAACCGTTAACTGGGATTAACTCCATCTTACAATCCACTGAAGTAATAGAACATGAGTCCACCACATCATTACATTATAGACAATAACTTTCAACATTAAGGGGGGAAATCCTCGATGAAATGATAACATCATTTAAAGCTCGTTAATAAATATGCCTGGCTTTCATGTGATAACTAGTCTTCAAGATAAAGAGGTGAAACAAAAGAAACAAGAAACTCCACAGCACTTTCAATTAAAAGTTATTAAAATAATAGACTCCAAATTATTATTATAGTAACCGCTTTAATGGTTTACCATGGCAACCAAAATGAATCACAAAGTTTGATGGAAAAAGCAGACCCTTCCCAAACTGGGACATTGTTTATGGAATGTATGAAGGACACAAAGTGTCATACATTGAAAATATGAGAAACAGCTTTCTAACCAGCAAGCTATGAAGTTGCTAAGCAAGTATACATGGACACTTGATTTAAGTATCAATGATAATAAAGAGGATTATTTACTTTAAGAATTCCGTTTTTGAATTGCATATTTCTGTAATACCTTCTTCCAGAAGAAAATCTGAAGCTTCAACGTGCTTAGCAATTTGTTTTGAACATGGAAGTTTCTAGAAGGAGCAAAACATCATCAACCGAAAGCTATTGCTTCAACTTCACATATTTTTTTTTCTTTTCTACCGTCTCTAGTATTTCCATTCAACTCTGTTTTACTTCACTATGAAGAAAGAAGATATTCTAGTAGAAAATGTAATGCAACAAACAGAACAAGGTAAATCTCAATCTCAGCATCAACATATGCATTTATGAGCATATAAAACACATTTTCAATTGTTTAGGTTTTATACAATTCAATATAAAATCACTAGTTCTATAAATAAACAAAAGCTTTACAATTGGGTAACATATGTTCTCAAATTAAGAATACAGATTAGCACAAAACAAGTTAAGACCGTATACTCGAAAGTCAAGGCTTACAAGTACTAGAACATGTGAGGGTTGACAGCAACAAACTTGGCTTTAGATTTAAGTGGTTATGAATGTGAGCTTCAGAAGGTATTAGTATCACTAACCTCCAAAAGCAGGTAGGGCTGTTTTCCAAACGTTAACCACACAATCAGAAGACGTAGATGCAAATATTGCTTCAGTTTGAGACACCACAATTGCAGTAATGCAGGTAATGCCTTTCTTGTGTGATTGTAGCAGTTGTGATACATATCTCCACTGCAACCAACGTTCAGGAATAACTAAGATAAAGTAATAGAAAAGTAAAACCAAGAAAATGTACTATCAACCAAACCTCTGAACAGCATTACTGGAAAATAACTAGATCACCCTCATACTTTTAACTATGTCTTGCACAATGTTATTTCGATGCTTTCCAGTTTCCATCATTTCATGGGCTGAACTCAAATATAATAAACAACAAATGTAAAACCTTGGTAGAATAAATATTCTATAGTTTCATTTTCTAGATTCTGGTAAAGCTCATAAATAGCTTAATACAGCAAATTTAAGGAACAAGTCAATCTGGATGAAATATTTTATCATAGCCATGCTTGTTTCTTTTGTTCTGGTAGACCATCCCCTCTGACATAACCTTCTACTTTATTCTTTTATATTATTTGTAAGAATGAAATGTGGCTTTAGGCTAGAGAGAACTACAAGCTGGTTGGACATATATCCAACAAAGAAATGTAGAAACAGAAGAATACAAGAACAAGAGAAAAAAAGATGAAGAGTAGACAAATGCTTAGACCTAGTTTAGTAGTATTAAACTGAGAGGAGGTTTCTCTCCATGGAAATAATTCATAATTGATATATTCCAAAAGAAACTGAAACATCTTCCTTGGTTACAGGAGGACCAAGGACCACACGATACATCTTCTCCTGTGTATCTAACATACCAAAAATCAGCAATCGAGCCACATACTATCACATAATCCTTCAAAATTGGGGAAACACAATCGCAACAGATTATTGACAAGAGGGTGCACATGTTTGTTCAGAGCCAACGGATTGCTTATTAATATGGAAGTAGCCTGCTAGTTTAAGATATGCTTTTTGGCAAGAAACTTTATATCTCAATAGAACATTCAATCAAGTACCTTATTTTCTGCAAGAGATAACTCCCATAGAATAATGACTCCTTCAGCATCTCCAGAGAGTAAATAGTGCTTCTCCCATGCCGCAGCTATAAAACATAAGTATAATCAGTCAACCCAAAAAAAAGTGTTTGTTTCTGTGTTGTCTGTTTTAAAGTATAAATAATTTAACAAGACATTTGTGAATTTTGTAGGGATGGATGCCAAACATCAATAAGGCCTGTTGCCGGTGATTAGACCATGTTTTCCAAGCCAACTTACAGCATTAGATTTACAAAGGGCAAAACACTGCATGCTATCAAGATAGATGAAGATTTTTGTAACACAGTAAAACCACACGATCTAAATTTCTAGTATCGTAACAGACTATGAGATGAGTAGCATTCCTCCACTGCAAACAAAAAGAACTGCAGCAAGACTTTTTGATGTCAAACCTGCTTGTTTCAAATGTACAATTGATGTGATTGGCTGCAAACTTAGTATATACATCATTCTAGTCAAGTAACTTATTCTCATAACTTCTAAAACTATTATCAATTTAAAAGTAGAAAAAGTAAACCATTTGATCCTCAAAGTCAGAATGTACTCGTGTACACTTCTCAAAAAAAGGGAGTAAAAAAGGCGATGATTAGTATTCTTTATGTCCTTCCAATTACCATTTGGAACATGAAATGTTCGTCCCAGATTGACTTACATTATCCACCTGAGCACCCAATTATATTTCGTAAAGATCAGGAACTTAATTTACAACTTCACAACCACATAGTTCAATTGTATAAGTAGCACGATAGAGCTCATTTCATCAAAATAAAAATAAAAAATACCCTTGAATGCAAACTTGCTGCTGGGAAGCCAATGCGTACAGTTCACGGAAGCCTTATGACCTGGTAGCGTAGTCAATATCTTTGCAGTCTGTCAACAAAACCACATTTTATAAAGAATATTCATTTAAGGCGTAAAAGGAATAAGAAACACTAAGATTAAAGTTGGAAAAGGATACAGTAGGACAAGAACCTGAGGGCAAAATATAGAGACGGCATTTTGGGAGCCAAAAGAAATCAAACCGCAGGCACCCCAGGAAACATTGTTAACGACTCGGTTGCATCCACCTCCTATGAACACTCTCTCAACGTCCACAGCTCCATTTTTAACCATGGCTGAAGAAGAAATCTGAGTGCTTGAGTGCAGGGATGGTGCCAAAGTTGTAGTTCAGAGTGGTCCTGTTAAATGGTATCTGTCAAGTCTCTAAATTTTAGGTTGTGCGTCCAAGTCTCTTGAGAGGCATAATCGTGTAAGTTGGTTGAACACCTAAAAGAACACGACAAAAGACTGTTCCATCAACAAAACTTCAGAAACATGTTCATTGCTCTCTTGATATCCGAAAAATTATATCAAAAGAGCAACTTCTATCAGTATAGTAACCATGATAGAAACCATGGAAAATATACATGTTAGATAACAGATACAAACAATTTTGTATTATCTACACCTGAGTTAATATGATTGCCATATGTTCTCTTTGAACTTGATAAAATGACTACTGAGTTAGAAATCAGATGGACTAAAGACATCAAAACGGAACAAAATATTCAATCTACAATTTAAGATCAAAACGGAACATATTATTCCAAAATGTTCTCGAGATATGACTAAATTTTGATTTACATATACAACTCGAAAATGATGAACGAGTTTTACATAGGCATTCACAGACGATTACCAGGTGTTGGGATACCTGAAGACACAAACGCTAGCACAACATATGTATCGGTGCATCCTCTATTCCTATGACCATCTTGGCCAATCTCTCATCCTTCATTACATCAACCCACAATACACTACAACATTCTTATGCCTATTAAAGCTTCAACCAAGTAGTTTCCGTTCATAGTTCATGCAGCCTGATATCATCCATAAAACCTTCAATTTAATAATGTTTTGTAGCAACTATAGATTCTATGAACGTGTGACCTACTCTCAAAAAATTAACATCCATCATCTCAACATATTTGAAATTTGAAAAAGTAAGTACATATAACACACCAAACACTTGATAAAAGCCAGAAGGCATAAGCATCAAGCATATTTCAAATTTCAATAAATTTGATTTCCAGATTCCAACTGTTAAACTGTAAGATGTCCAAACACTTAATAGAAGGCAGAAGCATTCAATTACGATTTACTAAACCTGATACAAGATGGACTAAACACTAAAAAAGATCGACTTACTGTTACTGTTGCTGTTACTGAGAGGTGAGAGACTAAGAGGGTGACTGAGGCTGAGACGGAAACCGCCGGCGAACAGAGCAAGTCGACGGCGAATGGATGGTTTTAGGAGAAGAACAAAGGTAAAGCAGCGGGGTTTAGAAGTAAAAATGGGTCGGTTCGGCCAATGACGTTGATCTTTAATAATTTGGGCCAATTAGGCCCCCACATGGGCCCACATATTCTCAAGGCCCAGTTGACAACCAAGTGACCAACTATTAAACTTGTTAAAGGGGAAATTTTTTTAAAAACCCAATAAATTTTAATATTTTGAAATGATTAAGCCTTTAGAAAAAAATTTAGAACAAATAAATTATTGGACATTCCAAAACATGTTAAATAACTCTTTGGACTTTTTAAAACCTGTTAGATACATCCTTATAACCTATACAACTGGTTTATTTTAAAAAAATAATGAAAATGGAAATAGAAATTAGGAAAATGACAATAAGTTAATAAAATTTATATTCCCTCTAATTTGGTCAGGTATGAAAATTAATGGATTTGTCGTAATTAACCTATCATATTTATATCATTATCATTCTGATTCTTAACCCCTCACTACCCAATCAAATGCTATGTGAAAATGAAATGTTTTGTATGTAATAGTTAAGTTTTCAAAATCTTAGAGTGTGCTATTGCCTATTGGTGTTCGACCATATACAATCACGATCATTGAAGCTTGGTGAACGTCTTTATAGTAAAATATTACATATGAGGGCCTGTGTTTATTGTACTAGACGAGCGTATAGTTGAACATGCAAAATCGATTAATCGATTCTTTATGTATTTATATTTTTGTATCATCAAAAACATATTAGGAAAAAAAAAAGAATCAGACATACATAATTTGTAGTATAATTCGAAAGACAAATGGGATACATTTGGTATCTATTGATGGTTGTAGATATGAACTTCGGTTGCAAAATGCATGACCACTTTGTACCATTTTGGTTTAACGGCTCATATAAAACTTTTTGTTATTAAAAGTGTTTTGATTGCCATTTTGGTTTAAGAATTAGATTAAGATCTTTGGACCATGCGGGCTCCCCGTAATAATTATAACTCATACCTTTAACCAATTTAGCTCTTAATACAAGATCATTCAAGTCAGATTTTTGTGAAATAAGCAAACCAAAATTACTAAGTATACATTTTGTTCCAGAATCTTACATTTACCGTTTGTTTAAAACTCTTATAAATACATCAATTCTATGACCAAATTAATGATTGCATAGGTTGGTTCATAAGTCATCAATTGTTGACTAAAAGATTGGATTATAATTGTATGACATAACAAACTAATAATCTTCGATTGGAAATTAAGATAAAACGACTCTAAATTCTAGTTGTTGACGGAAAAAAAATTCCATTTCATCAAGTCCTACTCAATTGCAAGAGCAAAGCACAAACAACTCTGTTGTTCTATGCTTGAATTTGCCCGCAAGTACAAACATGTTAGATTGCAACATTAAAACCATGTTCACGGTACTTTTTTTTATCGCAACTCGCAAGAATAGAACTTGAGTCAAATATTTATCATCAAGGAAATTCCGTGGAGAGAAAATAACAGAGAAAATATTTCGAGCCATTAGAATCAAGTCATCAGATTCAGGAAATCTAGGGAATCGAGTCCTATTGCCATCAGCATCAACCTCATTGATCATGCGCTAAAGTTCATCGTGTATCGGGTTTTGTCCTAGATATCTCATAATGGTTCATCCGTGTAGTTTAAAGCATCAAATTCAAAAAGAAAAAAAAAATTAAAGACAACATCTAAAGCACTATGTACTACCTTTCTTAGAGTGTCCATATGAATCCTTGCAAGTTTTGCATTCAGATTTAAGGGTTTTTTGCATTTAGATTATGTTCCTCTCCGTCTGATGAAGAACGACACTTCCTAAACGTGGAAATCATCTTCTTTCTCAGGTTAATTTAGTCTTAAAACGAATAAGACTGAAGCATGAAGACTGTACAAATGAAATCAATCGATTGTGGAACAAAATTGACTCTCAACTCATCCAAATTTCAAATTAATTATCTACCTATTGCTAGAAATTGAAAGAGTAGCTACTCATATCAAACCTAAAACTTACAAATAATTTAATTGAAGAATTGATGAAGAACTGTTGATGGAAACTCCAAATTCTACTCCCAAACTCTGAAGATCGATTCCCCCCAATCGAAGAAACCGCTAAAAATAGGACGTGGTCGTTCGGATGAACCCATGGAAAAACTCGCCCGAGCATATTTTGAAGCAAGGAAACAGTCAAACAGAGGCTAGTGTGGGGTGTGGCGCGACTATACATACCAGAAACTCGTGCGGACAGATTTCGTTAGCAGTGCTCATGGTTGTGTTGATCGGGTTGAATATATTTGAACAATCCAACCCAATGCTTGTGGTTTGAAAAAATCTTAACCTAATCCAACCCAAACCAAAGTGCAACCCAACCTAACCCAACGTATGGATTGGTCGGGTTGATAATTTGGTATATTAAAATATTCTTCTAACCTTGAATATGTTATTTATCTACTCATAATTTCTTTTTCATCATCAACCACTTGATACAACTTATCCATATTTCTTACGTATATCACATTCGATTAATTTTCTCAATTTACATATATATGTTCACAGTTACTGAACATATATATGAATGAGTTATATAGAGATATGAATAGATTAAAAATATGGGTATATGAAAAACATACATGATAATGTAATTGTCTAATGTATATATTAATGTAAATTCAACAATCATATTAAATTTAAGAAGTAAAAAGATATCAGGTTCATCGGGTTGGGTTGAGTTCAAATAATAGTAACTCAATACCTACGGTTTGACAATTTTACAATTCGATTAGACATCGGGTTGTTTCGTGTTGAGTTATTTCGCATTGGGTTGGGTTGAGTTGATCGGGTTGGTCGGGTTTTTGAGCACTCCTGGCTGAGACAGTGTCTATGGCGGGTTGTCGCGTGGCTTTTTGACACCGGTGAAGTCGCCCGATGGGAAATCAGATGCAGGATGGACCGGGAGTCGATAACATCTCATGTTGTGGACTGCATCGCTGGGTTATGGGCTTTGACTTGGGCCTTTGGTTTTCTATTCATGTGGTCCACTTTTCTCATATTGATTAAATTACCAATTTTTGGGCCTCTTTTTCTTCCAACCTTGCTCCACCAAACTTGCAGCCGACGAAGTCAAACATAAAACACACAATTATGGAGCCGTTTATTAAATACTTATTTGGTAAGTATTTATCGGATAAATTTCCTCATCGGATGAACATGAGAAGGGTCAAGAATCTTACCGGATAAGAGCTATAAGAAGAATGAAGAGTCTTACCCAGTAAGTGAGGATGACGACTCTTACCCAGGTAAGTGCTTACCCACTAAATTGTTGCATTCGGTATGTTTTAATATACCAAAATCTTACGCATCAAAATAAATCACAGTGTTGACTCCTGTCAATAAGCACTTACCGAGTAAGCAATTGAGTAAATGGCCCCTAAAATCTTTCTTGTTTCTTTTCTTGTTCTGATTGTTGCCATCAAGAAAATATAAATCACATTTAGAGGGTAATATTTAGTCTAGAATTTCACTAATTTAAGGATAATTTGATGTTAAAATTATATAAAATAAATCATTTATCAAACCTACTTAAAGATAGAAAAACATAGTGGCTATGCCTCCTCGGGCCATCGGATCATCCGATCCTGTCGAAGTGGATTCGATCATTGGGTTTCTCGAACGGCAACTAAATACTCTTCAATCCATCATCCTCTTCCACCTCCACCTCTTAAAGGCCACACCTTTTTGCGCGTTGGTGTGTAACTGTAACGTCAGATCAAGATGAGTGGTGGTGGTGGTGGAGATGCTATCAACATTTTTGAGAAAAGTTCAAAATTATAAAAGAAAAAATTGTACAACATTTTTGTGTAAAACATATTAAACTTACTTTTTCTAGAAACCGGGCCAGCCAGACCCTATCGGGGACGGGGACCATTTTTGACCATCTCTACGCCCATGTATTGTACAGTCGTAGTTTGCTTTTGTGGGTATGATTTCACATTAGACCGATGGTGGATGTAGTTTAAACAGGGATTTAACATGCGTGCAGTGAATCTTGTAATTTCTAATTACACGACGCTATTTCATTAAAATTACAAAAATCCAATTTCAAATGGGTCGAAAACCTAATTCTTGAGTCAATTTATCAATTCACGGGTCGTTTAAGGAAATGGCTACAAATCCAAATTAATTCATTTTCCATACGTAAATAAATACAAGATAAAAGTGTTATTCAGTAAATCAACACAATAACATGATTCAATCATTACAACATTAAGAAAACTAGTAGGACAAAATGACTTGATCACAACTAGGATGTATATATGTAATTGTCGTAAACAAAATCCGAAAACCCTTCTTCAACATAACAAACATAAAAAAAAAAAAAAAAAAAAAAAAAACCCTGGTAAGGGGCATGCGGTCTTCGATCACTTGTCGGGTTTTGCCACAGTTTTGCAAATCGGGCACTCGTTTTTGCGGAGAAGCCATTGTTTTATGCAATCTAAGTGATGGTAATGCCCACATTCGAGTCTTCCAAGATCTTCGTTCCCTTTACATTCCTCCTGTAAATTTAAAACTCATTTTGGTATCGTGAGAAGTACAATTCGATTAAAAAAAGATTTTTTTCACTTAGATCAATCATAATTCAAGATCAAGAGTGAGAAGTACAATTCGATTAAAAATCATTAATGGTCTGGATCTCTTTTAATCTTCTCATTTTTTTTTATTAAACTGGATATCCAACTCGCTATGCGAGCCAATTAATCCCAGGGCGACTACCTGCTTTGCAGATAGTCTGGAGTCACCGCATTTGAACCTCCATGGCCATAAGGGGATTTTTATTCCTCCTTAGATTTGAACCTGAGACCTGTCGGTACTTTTGACCTTTGAAACCAAGCTCAAACCAATCAAACACCACCCTTGTGGTTAGCTTCTCATATTTAACTCCTATTATCGCACAATCCAGCTAAATTCCACATATTAATTATTAAAAAAAGTTTTATCCATTCAAATATGAACTTACTTGACATATGCTACACTTCGAGTCTTTGACTTTGGAATTAAAGTCAAAGGACTTGAAAAACGATTTTTTAGGTCTTCTTAAGCAGTTGAGTATTTCTTCTTCCTGCAAACCACCACCGACGTACCCAATTTGATCACTCAATTCCACCAGTTCCTGCATAAGATTCAACAATGGCGGAATTAGTTTGACTTTTCTGGAGTCAATGTTTGAATGAAGGAAATACCTCGTAGGACATGATATCTGCGTTGATCCTCCATGCTCCAAACCGATCGCTTCCTTCTAATCTCCCATCCGACAATGGATTATGTTCGAACATCACAATCTGCGAAATTTGTATTTATGTTACTCAACGATCGCAATGCTGCAATTTACCAGATCTCGAATGCAATTTAACTGAAAGCGATAATTTACAGAGCTCTTAGAATAATTTGCAGGAATGAAACGAAAAATCAAACCTCAGAGATTCCTCCAGGAGAACGACGTTGAAGAAGATTATATTGTCTGGCATCAGATACATTCGACCTTATGAAGGTTGCATTGTCGGTTTGTGCTGTACTCCATGGTTGTTGAAGATCGGTGGCTTGCCTTGTCGCACGAGATCGCTATGAAAAAGGTAGAGTATATTGTTATCGTTCAACGTCTCCACGCTTAATCAGATTTTTTTTGTTTCTGGTTATCTTACATTTTATTTTTCATCGAAAGTTTAACCTGAGGTAACCATAGTGGGTTCCAGAGCGTATGAATACCTGTCTATGGTTTCTTCTATGTGCATCAGCGCTTGTATTTTCTGCAACATCATATGTGAATCCAATCCCAGGAGGAGTACAACAAACATCTGGAACCGTTACCACCACATTCTCCGGACACGATCCTCTGTTTCTCCGCGGTTTCTTCTTATTCTTCTTCCTCCTCCTCATCTTTTCCGGCGAGATAGCGTCTGGAGGATGCACGGCCACCGCTAGCGTGGAATACCGACCGCATCCGAAACCCTTAAGTGTCAAAAACGCAAATAACTTCTTCCGGCGAGGAAGTCGCTCCCTGGATTCAGCAATTTGAGTGGAATTTGGGGTTGCGGAGTGTGATTTGGGTCTGGAATTCCTCGGTCTTCCATGTTCAGGAGTTGCAGTGGCCATTGATTTTGGGGAATGGGGAGGAATGGAGAGAATTTTCAGGGATGTCGGTGAGAAATGGGAAGGAAAATCGATGCCCGATGGAAATGACAACTAACGATGTGGGACTACGGGCAGCTGCAGGTGCGTTTGTCTTCACCCCTGTTCTGTCTTCCTTGTTGATTTTCTTTGGGGTTTTGCAATACAGACAAAAAAAACTGCGAGTATTTTGAATATGAAAATTGAAATCCAACCTGCCCCATTATTTCCATGGAAGACATCCAATACAACATCCTACCCTAATCACCGTTAATAACAAGGTGTAGTTCGAAGTCAGAAATTGTTAAAACTGGTTATATATTATATTGTAACTTGTTCAGTTATCCACTTAACAGTTACTCGTTTACCTGAAATTTTAGTGGATATGGATTAATGGTTTTTCATTATCATTTACCTGACCTCGATTTCGAGGACGAAATCTTTTTAAGTGTGAGAATTATAATACCACGTATTTAAAAGCCCAAATGTGATCAATTTATGAAATTATGTTTTGTTGACTTGTACCTTAGTCTTCAAGAGTTGTTTATTAGGACCATGTTGGTTGAAATAATTTTGGTTAGGACCAAAATTATGAGAAATCGTCGAAGTAGGATTGTATCGCAAATAAGTTAAAGATCAAGGGCTAGAATGTAAATGTTGAAAATATATATTTAAAATTTATTGTTTTTAAACCAAAGTCGGAATAAGGTAGTATTAGAATGTTATTGGTTTTGCTCATTTGTAATTATGTAAATATGTTAATCCTATGAATTTTGATTGTTATAATGCTATCTTTTAGGAGTTTTGTTAGAGCTCAGTATTTTAAATGGTATACTTTTGATTCGTTTACGGTTGTGACACACCCCATCTTTGATATCTAGTAGGATGGGGATGTTACAAACTATATATACACATATAAAGGTAAAATATTTTGTTAACTAAAAATATGGTATCAACTTTGTGAACTTATTATAATAATAAGATTTTTTCTTTAATGGAGGTCATTTTAAATGTTTGATTTAATGATGAAGGGTAAATAAGTAATTTTTCATGTGTAAGTTACTTTTATAGTATTAATGAGATGTTACGAATTATTATTTGACATTCATTGGTGTTCAAAAGAATATTTGATGATCATAAGGTTTTCGTGTAACTAACTGCAGATAAAAATAATCAAATATATGATAAACATTATTTTAAATATAAAAATAATCAAATATATGATAAACATTTTTAAATATAAAAATAATCAAATATATGATAAACATTATTTTAAATATAAAAAATCTAAAATATAATTAAGATAATCATTAAGTTATAACATAATATTTAATTATTATTTTTATAAAATGTTATATTATCAAACCAAAAATAAATTATTTCGTTATTAAACTTAAATTAAATTAGAATAAATAAAATAAATTACATAAAAAATGAAAACTTTTAAATAATTGATTTGATATTAACATTGATATAATTTTTTTCAAACTTTTAAAGGTCATTTTCAACAAATTCTTTAAAACGAAAAAAATAAAGATTTTAAGGATTTATGACGTGTTTTTTTACTACATGAAATTTTCCAAAACTTTTCTTTAAAATGGAGAAATTAAGATAGAGAGAGAGAGAGAGAGTAAAAATATTCAAATTAATTATTATTAACTAGAATGGTATTCGTGCAATGCAGCGAGATACATATCGATTTTAATGTTCTATTTTGTTATTTGTTTCTGTTGATGTTAAAATACAATTTTATGTGTTTTTAAGAAAACAATAATGATTTTATTTTTTAATAAAATATTAATCTGAAAAAAAATATCAATGTTAATATCAAATCAACCATTTAAAAGTTCTTATTTTTATGTAATTTCTTTAAAAAAATTATTATAATTTAATTTAAGTTTAATAAAGAAATAATTTATTTTTATTTTAATAATANTTATAACATAATATTTAATTATTATCTTAAAAATTCTATTTTATTAAACCAAAATAAAATAGTTCGTTGTTAAATTTCAATTAAATTATAATAAAAAATTGAATTAAAGAAAGTACACAAAAACAAAAACTTTTAAATAGTTAATTTGATACTAATATCGATTATTTTTTTTAAATTTTATAATATTTTCAAATTTATATTTCATTAAAAAATAAAAACATTTTTTTTCTCAAAACCATATTATAACATTGATAGACCCAAAATATAAAACAAAACATTAAAATCAAAATATATCTCATTACATTACACAATTATAGTTAAGATTAAATACATCTGAAGGCGGCAAAAACGATAAAAGATAAGTTGTTATCAAAAGTAAATAAATATATATTAAATATATTACTTGAAAATACGTAAAAACTAAATAAATATATATTAAATATATAACTTGAAACTATTTAAAAATTCTACGTGTATCATTTTTAAAATCAATGTGGGGTAGAAACAAATAATTAAAATTCCAAGAGGTTTCAGATTCTAGGAGCAGAGGAGGCATCCAATGTAATAAAAGAATTGCAAGAATAAACCAGAGTTATTGGATTTTTTTTTATTTAAAAAATTATTAATTATATATTTTTTATTTCATTTTAATCAAATTGGTTAATTAAAAAGTCAAATAATAACAAACGAACAAGAATAAGAACAACCTAATGGAGCGTGTATTAAATAAATCTTTTGGTTACGAATATATTTAAATTTGAATATGTTTATATTAGTATTTAAGTGGGTGTGACGATGACTTAAAAGGGTTCCATTTTTTGGTAGTTGTGATTCGATAATCCATTCATTTTTCCTTAACGGGTAATGTTTATCAGATGTCTTTATCAATTGTTAATCTTATTTAAGAGGCGTGGGGCAATTGACAGAGTCACCTTGAAGCGAGAAATGGCATTGCCCCCTCCCCCTCCCCCTCAAACTTCAAAAAATAAATTTGATATAGTTTCAAACCTCAATTATCTACTTGAAATTTTATTTATTCATATCAAATTCTTTTTTTGTTTTATTTATAAATGTCAAAATATTAGAGTGATTTGTTACCTTTTTAAACTCATTTTCACTCCTTCCCACCCAAATACTCATTTGATCCTTTTAATATTTCTTTGGTCTAAATCAATCATAAAGTTGAGAAAGAGCCTGAAAGTCGGATTCTGACGCTGTAAGTCATAGTAGCAAGTCACCACTGTGGCAAGAAGTAGCTGCAGAAAATTCTTTATTAAGGATTTATTACCGAAACTATGAAAGAGGATGCAGGTTTCATGTTTGGTCAAAGGCTGGAGACATCATGAAAATGAAGAAAAAGAGGACAATAGGGATAAGACAAGCATAAAGAAAAAGCCACTATGATTCTCACACTTTTTTCCATCTCTCTCTCTCTCTCTCTCTCGCGTCTATATAAAGAGAGTTTGGGGCAATTCATTGGAGGCATCGTATACATCAAGAATAAGCCGATAGTATTTAGTTCTTGTATTTGCTCTTTAATTAGTTTAATTTCCTGCAATTTACTTTTTGTTCACCACTGTGAGTTCTGACCATAATGAGAAGTTTACGTTTAACGCAATTTATGTTCAAGTATTTTTTTTTTATATATCATGTTTTTACTTATGAGCAGTAGCTTAATTCTTCTTTGGATATGGGTGTAAGCAAAACTCAAGAGTTCGAAATGTAACACTTGGGTGTTACCACTTTTTGCTAACTCTTTGGATTGGTTATTCAAATTGAAACTTTAATTCAACACGGACAAGTTGATCACTTGTAAGTGTTAATATTAGATTTTTGACCCAGGGATAGGTGGATCCGAAGTACAACTTGAATGATGCAAGGAGGTTTGAGAAAATCTCCAATAACCGCATAGAGATATGGGGTTTTGCATAACCGTGCTAGGTTCAGATGTCAGTCGAGTTGGTGTCTCATAGAGATATGCACATCTCTCCATATTGGCGAAGCTAAGATCTTTGTGATCTACTTAGTACAGTTGGCAAACTGAAAGTTAACATTTGTGGAAATTTTATGATAAAACAATAATCACAACCCATATGACATAGTGTCGAGAGGAGGAAATTGTATGAGATTATTTTGTGACCGGTTTCATCGACCATTAAAGTTACTAATACACTATCGCGGAAAACTTACACCCATACCCGTTTTTTATTAATTATTATTTTAAGACATCAATATTCTACCAACAACAAATCATTTTTATAACTCGAACTTTGCATTGGGAGTACGTAAAAATCCTTTATTCTTAGTAGATCAGTCCCTGTGAAAAAGATCTTTTGTATTTACCATTGTATCACTTAAGAAAGCGAACTCGATAGTGGTGTGCGCTTGCACCGCTGTTGTGCCACGGTTTACGTGTGTTATTTTTGCTATCAAATATATAAAAAAAATCGATATATTTCATGTATTTTCAAAGGGCTTTTCTTATTTATATGATTATTTATACACGTCTTATTTGTTTCAATAAATAGACATTTTATGCTGTTTAGGTCATGTTTTCCAACTCTTTTTTACAACTATTTTTAGGACAAGTATTTAATTAAAAAAACATATATACGTAAAATGGTTTTCTCAACCTTAAAATCGTAAATTTTCTAACACTTTTTCCAGACACCCAGTAGATGGATTTTCTGGCTCCGACCCTGCATCTAAACGTTCTGTTTTCTTTGATTTTCCTTTTTTTATCTTTTGTAGCCTATTGCACCTCGCAATTTTAGCTGGTTTCTGATTGTATATGTTTTGGTTTTTAATACACTTTTCTGTTGTTTTTCAAAAAAAATCTATACATTATTACATGACAATTGTTGAGTCATTACTGGTATGACATTATACTTCATAAAACTGATAACCAATCAATAACTTTTTTATTTTGCTCAAAATGATATAAAATCATTAAAAATAAAAATAAACGAATGATATATACATGAAATAAGATTAAGGGTTTGAGAATTCAAAATAAGATCAAACAACACTACATTACGTAAGAAAGTAAGAGCATTACTTTTAATAACTATATGATTGATAAACCT